GGCTGCCATACAAGTGAGAGAGGAGCTTAGAGCATCACTCTGGGGGAAGGGTGCAGGTAGGGAGCACTGTTTGGATTTTCCTTGTTTGCTTACCAGCTGCACTATGGTCAGCTGCAGTAAATAGCTGGAAACTCATGGCCTTGCAAGGAGCTATGTTTCAGTCCTGACACGGGGCATTTATGAACTTTCAGAATGCTCTTGAACTGTATTTTTATGGGTTTGCTGCTACATTTTCCCCCCCTAGATGCAGTAATTTTGCTAGAGGTAGCCAAAACTCTTTTCCTGAAAGGACAGGTTAGGCTCCCTAGGGCTAATGTTGTCAGGAGGCACAGGCACAGTTCTGCACATGAGCAGCATGACCATGCAGCCCCACAGACCAGAGAACTTTGCACCTCTAGAAGCACCATCCTCCCAAGAGTTTCACGCTAAACCAGTAATACCCAGTAATAAATAGCACCTGCTGCTTTTAAGACCCTGGTAGCGTTGCAGGTGAAAGTGCCCACTCTTGGAAGCCTGCTCAGAACAGAGCTCACCTTGCTGAAGCTGAGTCCTGGGACCACCGTGGAGGCAGGCCAGATGCCATATTGACTGCCAGCCCCCCGGCTTCCCCTGCACCCAGTGCTGGCAGCAGTCACTCTGTGAGGCCCTAATCAAACCCAAACACTCACCCAGCCAACTTGGAGAGTCCTGCAGGGAGTGGGTTCTCGTGTGAGAACAGCAGCAGCAGTTGCAGCCTGCCCCTTCCAGCTCTTCTTCCTCCTCCTCCTCCTCCTGCAGGGAGCTGGCTGGGATGGTCTCCAGCTCACACTGACCTTTGGGTGCGCAGTCCGAGATAGTCTGGAGGCACAGTGGCACCAAGACCCGGGGGCTATTCTCTGTGGGGCTAGAGAGGATGTCCTCGATGCTAAATGAACATGGCTTCTTCAGGCCTCTCCTGCCCGTGTCAGCATCTGACACTGGCTCCGAGGTCATCCTGTGCCAGCAGCAGTGGCTGGGGGAATAGGCAGTCCAGGCTGAGCGGGGTTTGCTCTCCGTGCACTAGCTCCGTTGTGGGGTCTTGCAAGGAAAAGGACAGCTTACATGGCTTTTAAAATGGACTGGCAAAGCCATCCAGAATTGCTGCTTTGTCTTGGTATTTCAAGTGGCTGTCATCCTCACAGCTGTTTTTATTTCATACACACAGGCTCTTTTCCTCCTTCTGACCTAGCTGCTTTATGACTGAAGCCACCCTAAATATATATAGCGGGAGATATAATCCCTTTGGAAAGAAAACCATTAACCCCCCTGTGAATAAAATAAATTCTAACTAATCTTGGCAGCTTTGTGAAGGGTTAGTGTGGATCTAAGATTTAGTTAATCCCACAAAAATGACTGGAGAAGGAAATCTGATTTCTCCATCTCAGGTGTAGATCTGAGGTGGTTATGATCTCCATTGTGCTGCAGCCTCCGATCCAAGGAAGGGGGAGGATAGCTGTTCCCAGCCCGGAAATGGACCAGAGGATTAAATCCTTAAAAGAAGCAAATTACCCCTTTCTCTGGCCAAACGACAGCTTTCCCATCAAAGAGAGCTGTCATATCATACAATATGAGAGAGGAGAGAGCTCAGCTTAGTAAAAAATCATTTTTAATGACAGCACAGCCTTTGGCTGTGCCAGAAGTCTCTGCAAATGTTGATTTATTTTCTGCTGAAACAAGAGAAATTGTATTTTACCTCCTTCCTCTTTCCCCCACCACTGCTGCCCTAATCACTGAGGTAATGCAGATGCTTTACATGTATCCAACACACTCTTCATAAGGATTCAAAGCCCTTAATAAATTAGATTACTGGCAGCTCACAGCAGCTCTGCACCTTAATTTAGTGGCATGTAACCACATCCTGTGCAGCTGAGCTGTATCTCTGCTCTATGTTGGAGAGGATTGCTGCTGCTGCTGCTGTTTCCATGGGCACTCAGGCAGGCAGTGAGATCCTGCAGCCACTCACGCAGGAGTGTGTTCTCATTGCCACAGCTAATGGGTGATTCAGTGGGCCCAGAGCAGCCAGGACTAGGCTTCTCCAAAGCTAGTTCAATTCCAACTTCTGACGAGCCAGAGAAACTGGGCTGAGGCTATGGCTGAGAGCAGTGACTCAGGATGGGAGGGGTTGCCTTGTTCCAGCACTCCCAAGGGCAAAGAGCAAGGCCCGGCAGCATGTGGCAGTTCCACAGGAAGAGAGAGAACAACTTTTATCTTGGGTTTCAACTGAAATGAGTAGTTGGGAATAAAAGAGAGGTGTGGTTCAGTTCAGATCACTTAGGAAAGTTTAAACCCTAGTTCTATTGCTCTCACAGCAGTTTAAGCCAAGGTAAGTAGCAATGCCTCAAGAACTCAAATGGGGAACACTCTCCCACTTGGTGTTTCTTCATAGGGGAAAGAAAATACCAGTCTCACGGTACACCAACAAGACACACAGGTGGGTGCTGTGAAACCACTGCACATCAAAGGTCCTCATGGCACCTCATGACTTCATGCTGAACAGCCCAGCAATGCCTCTGGCACTGTGCAAAACTGACGGCCAGTCTCCAGGAGAGCCTCCTCTCACTCACCATTCTTTTCTCCTTGGCCCTGCTCACTGCCCACCTTTCCTCACCTTGGGGGTCTTCCAGTGCCAGGAAGAGATACCCCATAGCAGTCTACCTGTGGCTCACTTAGAACCAAACCACTGTTTTTCCTTCCATCCCTTTATTTGCCTCTCCAGCTGTTCTGATGGCATAATATAGATTATAACCATGGTCTGCAAATCTTTACATGTTTGCTGTAGGTCTGGGAGGAAGACACCTTTGTAGCCTCCCAGTCTGGACATGTTCACTGCTGCCCTGCCAAAGTGTCAGGGCTCCAGAGAGGCACTGGGGATGCCCTAATACCAAGGATCATTGCAAACTGCTCCCAGCTTTTACGCATGTACCCAAACAGTGACACAGGAGGTGGATATGGGGACAGGTTCTGCTCCCCACATCATGCTAGTCCAGAGGGATCACATAGGGCAGGCAATCTGGGATGTGCCATGGGCAGGTGCATGACCCAACCATTCCTGCCCTTGACTGTAATAATCATACGCCTGAAGCGGATTAATTCTCCTTCTCCATCCTTAACAAAGGATGCCTTTCCCTGGGCTCCCTGGCCTGCCCCTGCCTTCCCACTGCACATGCACTTAGCCTATTAGGATCTCTGCTGATTGCTTTCTTTCATTCCTCTCATACCTTTCACTTCAGAAAATGGCCTGGTAATACTTCTTTTATCAAAGAATTATGGGATTTAGGGCCCAGATCTTACAAAGAGACTTTTGATAGCTGCTGGTAATCAAATCCCGATCAGCAGACACTTCTCTGTACCCTGTTACCAGAGAGGAATAAAGGAAAGGGATTTCTGATGTTCTGTTTACTGAGCCTCCAGGAGATAGGATCTCTGGACTATTTCATATTAGAAAAGGAAAGGAAAATAAAACAAGAAAGAAAAAAATGCAGACAAGAGAGGACAATATAGATACAGATAAAAAGAAAAGAACCAGGCTCTTATCATTTTCTTATTGGCTAAGGAGATTCCAAAGCCATTATAGAGGATTAGCAAAAAGGTTAATCTGCTTTAGCCATTCACTTGTCAAAAGTGAATTTATAGGGTTTGAAAATCCTCCCCATGGTGAAACAAGAAAAAAATCCCCCTTTCCCTCCCCTGCCCCTCCCTTCTGCAGGCAGCACAAGGTGGGAACAGGAGCATTGGAGACCCTACAACTTGGAAGCACCCTCCTCTGGTCCCTGCCTAGGTGCTGGCACCTGTGGGGGCTCTGGTTTGGCAGCCCTTCTTCCCACTCCCTCATCACCTGAGTGGGGTGGCCATGGTGCTCAGGAAATGGAGAATCAGGTCTGAGGGACTTGACCATCCTCCTGCACTGCTCTGCTTTACCTGGGACAAATCCTGGGCTGTTTTGCCAGTCGATATTAGCAGCAGTGAGGGTGAACCTGGACCATGGCTGGACTTGGGCTTCCAGGCTGATTTCTAAAGCAAAACAGAGATGGATGCTGCTGAAAAATGTTGCCAGAAACTACAGGCTGGGAATTCTCCATCCCCAAGTGCAGTGCTCACCCAGGGAGCCACATCCCAGTGTCCTCCTTGCCACCCACCACAGCCACTGGCCCGTCTCAACCATGCTTTACTGGGCTGCTCGTGCCACTGACTCATCCAAACATCCAAAGCCCATCACTCGCCCCAGTGCCACTGTGAAAAACAATCCAGTGTATAAACCTAGGTTTATATATTATACCCTGGCCTTGAACCAGGGTATAAACCTGGGTTTACACCCTAGTTCAAGGCCAAAACCAGCAAGGAGCACTTTCTGGATAGCTGCTGGGTGGAATTCAGTGGGATGCATTGGTCAAGTGTTAAAACTATGTTTAATTAAAAAATCTAAATCATAGAATTATGGAATGTTTTGAGTTGGAAGGTACCTTTAAAGATCATCTTAAAATCATGCCCATTAAAATAGTCCAACCCTATATCAACTGACAAAAACAACCCAAATAAAATAATTTGGATTGGATGATAATTAACATCAAGTGTTATAATAAATCTGTTTCTCTCTCCAAAGGCCATTGCATTCCATAGGAAGAAGCAGAGTGACTCCACTGGGTATCAGTGGTATAAGTGATGCTACTAGTAGGGATGCTGGGTGTTAGGGATGCTACTAATAGTGATGCTGGCTAACAGAGATGGTCCCCACGGTGTAGCAGGAGGACTGTGAGGTACTAAACTTCCTCTTCTGCAATGAACCACGATGGAACGAGACAACTGTTTCACCCCGAAGCACTCCAGTTGGTATTTCAGAGATCTTACACCGCCTCGCACTGTCCGAATCCCTTCGTTTTCGGTAGGCAACACCAGCTCCCTGTTTTCAGCTCTTCCGGGGGCTGTCGCCTTACACGCCTTGGGACGATGATGCTTTTTAATCCCGACGGTGGTTGCAGCGTCGGGATGAAGGATTCACCTTCGCCTGCATCCTTCCCGC